GAACAAAACATCTTTTCCCTCCTACAGTTAATGGATCTTTATTCATCAAAAATAGCACCTTAACAGTAAAAGAGAACAAAACAGTTGAAATTGTTTGTGAAGCCTTAGGATGGGCTCCATCTCCAGACATTACCTGGATGACAAATGACACTTTCATTGATAAGTCGAGTTATGTTACCCAGCAAAGTCAAGGATCTAATGGCCTCCACAATGCCCTGAGCATCCTAACTTTGACTCCGACGGACACTGAGATTTTGACTTGTTTAGCTGACATAGAAGCACTCCCTAACCCTCAGAATGCAACTGTAACTGTTATTTTTGTCAACTCTACTATAGGTAAGTGAATGTTTGTTGTGCTTCGCCTATACTGTAGTGCCTGTACTGCACTGCCTGTACTCAGAACTATGCTTTTTGGTTTGTTCTGCTTTGTTTTATTTTGAAAAGTCTTTTATTTGCGAAAGAAATGTTATGAGATGTGCAGAAGTGATAGAATCAAGACCTAGTAGTCACAACCTGATACATAGGTAGGGTTAAATTTACATCCGTGAGAGGACTCGTACAACTTTAATGCACCACAAAGTCTGAATTAGGACTGAGCAAGAAGTGCGGTACATCTGCCACTGACTCCTACTTATGGATTCACTGCTAAGAAAACCGACTTCTGCTCCTTGACCGAGTAAACATCTAACGAATCTAGATCTTAAATATCCTTGATTAGGCCATGCCTGCCACATGAACATAATTTGTTAGACCTCATTTACTCAAAGCCAAACTGTCAGGTGAATTGTTCTCCATAATATTCAACGCCAGATTTACCACTGACTTGGAAACAACCACTGGATTTTACTCCCAGTTTCTGCACACAATCCAGAATAGATTCTGTACTAGCACTTCAGGTGCAAATAGAAAGTTCCTCATATGAGATGTGATGGAGCTGTTGAAGTATGGTAGTAATGTTCCCCAGGGCTGCACTGAGGCTGGCACCTAATTGCAGATGTTAACATTTATCTGTAGGAACTTCTATACTGTATACCTATCACCAATCTGCTATAAGAAAGTCTTTGTACGTGGTGTATTCACCCATTACAGAACAAGAATCAGGTCATCAAGAGAAGCTGTGTATTCATGGGCTTTATGCCAATGTCTACTTAGATCAAAAAGCCATTGGGCCTGCTTTCCTCTTCCTAGCATAGTCTCTTTCACATCTTAGAGGAAGGTAAAAAATGTCCCTCAGCAACATATGTGGAATTCTTTGAATGATACATTTGGTAGCTTTTTATTGCCTTTTATTTAAGGAAATTTAAGGTTGCTTTAATCCAAGCATGGATTTTGGGCAAATCTCTCAAGAACAGTTAGCAAGACCTTTGAGAACCCTAGATATTTTTGCCAAGGTTGTCAGCATTTTCTGTAATGCTGCTGATATTTGGCCTCTGACATCCTGTGAAAATAAAATTCTGTAATTTAAGACATTCGTAATACTAGGAGGTTCATCAGGAAAAGGGTGATTTTACCCGGTCTGTGCTGCCAGTGTGGAACAAAACAAGTGGGACTATCACTAGAGATCTGCCTCACAATCTAACAGAATCCTATGAAAAATGTTTTTCTTTTCCGAACCATAACACAGTAAGAGCAAGTAAGAGGAGGTATCTCCCTGTGGATTAGCAGAACTTAATACAGACGAGGGAGATGATACCAAACCGTCCTTAGGAGCATTTCTCTGTTGGGACTAGCCAAGTGTCTCAACTGTCAGGTAGAAGAGTCTCAAGGCAAACTAAACTCAAAGCACTAATTGCATGGCAGGGAGCTGAGTTTACTGGGTAGAGGTACGCTGCCTCCTGTGGTGAGATAGGCCACCCTACAGTGACACCACTTTTATTAGCCTTATCCTGTGGTATGGGAAATGCATAGATTATATGGGGGTCTTTTTTGCAGTGGGTCTATGCATCCCCAGCTGTAGTCTGTACAGGGATGTACGGCCTTGAATCTACATTTCCTTTTATGAAATGGTGAGTATCATGAACTTCTATAATCATGCTAGCAGCTTCTCTTGATGTACTGATTCTTCTTCTGTAATGGCACATACAAAGACATTCTTAGAGTGGATTGATGAGGGGTTTGGTATAGAAGTTTCAACACATAAACAACTGAGGAGGTTGAGCAACTGTGCCTTTTGCTTTAACTATGAGTCACTATTAGCAAGCCTTTTTCAGAAGTACTTGCTTTATAATGCAATTGGAAAAGGTTATTTCGCCATTCTTAATATGACTTTTTTGTAGTCAACATTGATCCTAATTACTGACTAAGCAAAATAGAACTATCCTGAGGAAATTAATAAGTTCCCCTGCCTACCCATTTGTGAAGTGCTGAGGTATCCACCCTCAGTTTCCATAGCTACTTATTGTAAATCAGAAAAGGAGAAAAACAGATGTCATGAAGCACAATTAGTGTATAATTGGTGATTGTGTAGGACCATCATTCATTTCTCTTTGGAAAAATCATTGTGCAGCAGCAGACACTGAAAATTTGTCAGGATATCAGAATACGAAGTCTTCAAATTATTAGAATGAAATAAAGACATGGCATTTACGACAGAGGAAGTTATATAATGTATATATCACACTTCAAATCTCAGCACTTGTCTAACTTCTTATGTACAGACAGCCTTAGCTAGCTGTTGTCAGGAAAGCACGTGACTGGCTTCAAACATCTAAGGAGTTCTTCCCAAAACTACTGTACTACCAATTTCAGCCTTCATTTAAAAGCTTGAGGAATATAATTCCTCCATGTTCCTCACAAGCAATACCTGTCCATTCACAAGAACTGCAACCAAAAATCTGAGCCCTCTTCAACAGCCTGTCAACAAATGTCCTACCTTCCTGCGCCTCTAGATCAGTCTTAATCTCAGACCTTTCCATACAAGGTGATGCGTTTTTATGTCAGTCAGTCCTCCTCCAGCGTTACCTCACTTACGGTGGTGTTTGGCTCAGCTCCAAATTTGGTTACTCCTGTGGAATTATCCCGGTAGATGCATTCACAGAGCTGTTATTGGGAAATGCGGTCCATGACAGAGTCCCTTAGCTGGGCCCAAGCCCTCTTTGGCTTCAGTGTTGACTTCACATGGCCTTTGACCTGCAGAAAATGAAGATAGGGAACCTACCATGAGCCTGATCTTCCTTTGCTTTTTAAGTTAGCCACAAAGCTCCAAATTGTCTGAGAAGTAATGTGTACCTTTGCCCAGTCTCCCACTTCTCCTTCATCACAAGTATGTCTGGGGTTTTCTGCAGATACTTAGCACAAGTAAATTTTTGGGCAGCTTCAGGAGGAGTTGGAGGTCCCGATAGCAGCAGAGGATGGTCCCTGAATTCCCATAGAATAAGGAACTGGTTTTGTCCACACTAAGCCCCTTATGTAACTTGGTGTGGATTTACTAGTGGGGCTAAAAGGGGTTTAATGCCTTAGTGTCTTGGTGCCCCTCTCTTGCACCCCTACTTGCACGTTGAGCTGGCAGCTCCTGCATTCATACCTGCTGGTCCCAGATCCAGTTTCTTTCTAGGTCTTCAAAAACTGGGGAGAAACTACAATGCTGAAGTGCCGGGAGTGTTTGTGTTGTATCCTGTCCTCACTTCAGCTCCTTAGATCCTCTTTTGGCGTGTAACCTGAACCTGACAGGGAGTGAAATACCTTGGTGTGGCAGCCAGCCTGGAGGTATGGGCCACTGCAGGTGTGTTTAGGTCCTCCCTTCACACTAAGGTTAAGCTTTACTCTGTAGCTAAATAGCTGTCTTTCGTATCATAGGCATCTTGAAATCCCTGTGGTATGCTTTATGGAACAAAACATGGTAAAATATAGATATTCGTTTCAGTACTTCTAGATAAAAATATTATGAACAAGTTTATCATCAATTATAATTACAACTGACTACAGAATTAACTGCTAGCTTGAAGGTTACTGAGTGCTTTTTTTCCCTAATAGTCAGAAGAAATTCAAAACATGCTGACTGAGCATTAGGATTAGAGAAGACTGGAACAAATTGCTTAATCATAATGACCTGAGCTGTCGAGAATACAGACTCCTAACAGAGGTTCAAGGTTTGTAGGAGGCTCTGGTCCTGTATCTTTGCAGCCTGAAACCTCCAAATCCCAAACATATGCCCAGGCAAATTTGTAGATAGAAAGGATTTACTTCCTTATTCTCTGCCGGAGGTAAACCAGCAGACACTGTGGTTCACACATCAGGGGCATAGCCCTGACACAGCACAGCTACTGGTCACCTACATTGCTGCAGTACCTTTTCCAGAAGCGGTCAGCTAAACGTGGCCATGCAGTCATTACCTGGGACCTCTAATGAGGGAATGACAATCATAAATCCAGTGCAACTGAATGGGTTTTGCCAAGTTTGGATGTGTCTCACACCTGTAATTTGGATTGGAAGTTTGTTTCTAAACATCTGCCAAAATTTGGGGCTGCTTTTCAAGGTAGCCAAATTAGAGATGCTTCTGAAATATTTGGTCAAAACCAACGGGCAGTATGATGTGACAATCAGAACAGACATCTTGCTTGTTCATCCAGCTGGGTGCGAAACGCAGGGTGTTTTTAAAATTCTGTGCATGTGGGAGCTCTGCAGGAAAACTGTTTGGTCATAGCAACTGATTTCAGCAAGATACTGAATTATCTTCAAATCACCTCATTTAACTCTGTAGATTACAGCAGAGACAAAGGTATAAGTTAATGTTGTGAGAATGCCAGTAGTGAAGATGGGTTAGTAGATGCATATTCCCAAATGGTGCTACCCTTTACAGGTTTTGCTCTTTTCTGCTCTGTAAGTGGGTAATAGATGCCCTACCAAGAGTTTCCCAAAAATCAAACACTTGCTGAAATCAGCAAGAGAAATCCCAAGATGAGATTCATCAGAAAATCTTATCTACAGGGTAGAGATCTCCATCTGTACTAGTCACCTAAGGGTATTGCTGTGGTCTGTGGGAAGAAATGGACACTTCTTCAGGGCTGTTCATCTCATCCAAAGAAACACATACATATTTGGCCAGTTTAATTGTAACCCAAAATACCTATTTTCTCTCCTCTGACAAGAGCAGCTAGGCAAGATGCTTAATATCTGCAGTGTAGACATTTAAATTGAATCTTAACCCTTTTCCCCAATCTCAAATGTCTCCAAAGGATGTTGGGAGGCCCAGCATATCTACAAAATAAAGTTTAGGTTGGAAAATTACAACCCTGTGTTCTTCAGAAGAGAAGCTGTTGGAAAAGTTACAATTGCAATAAATAATTTCCATTTGGAAATATTTTAAATTCTTGGGCACCATCCATACATACAGAGTCTGTCATTTGGAAAACACAGACTCCTTGTTAAATAATCAACAAGCAGTTAATAACTTCTTACAGAAAAGGTAAATATTCTGAAAAGGATGTTTTGAGGCTCTGATAGTACAACATTTCTCCATTTAATTTAACAGAAAGTGATTACAGTGAAGACAGCAGAAGCACGTGGGTTATTGTACTTGCAGTTGTGCTTTCACTCATTGGTATTATTCTTCTGATCATTATTATTGTGGTTGTCGTACGCTGCTGCTGCCTGCAGAAGAAAGGTAAGTGGACCTTCACAATTGGTCAACACATTAAAAAGGATCTTCCATTAGATATAAATCTCCTGGATGCGTCAGCTCTGGTGCTGTGCAAAGACCTGTAAGCAAAAGTGTAAGCAGACAGATCCTACTCTCAGCCATGGCCTGATTAAGATGCTCCTTACTTTCATCTTACTGTTTCTTTTATAAATTAGTTCCAAAGTAATCAGCGTCAGCCATTCACATTAGCTACAAGGGAGGCGTGTTTTTCAGGAGTACGCTAACTTTCAATGACGTTTAGTCCCTACGCTGAGGGTCTCTGTTGAAGCGTACCTGCAGCGCTGTGTGCCTAATTTCCAATTTCGGTGTAAGCTGTTCTACAGGGATGTTTCGTGGTTTTGTAAACAGGGAGGAGAGAAGAGATGCCCCTGCGGTAGCTGGAACACAGTGCACTCTCTAAGGAGAGCTCTGTAGTAGGTCACGATTTAGTTTTCTGCATTTTAAATGTATTTTTTATTTTTTTTTTTTTCTCTTTCTCAGGATCTACATACCAAAATGAAATAAGGTAAGCTGGATGAGGTGGGAGAATTTTGCCTTTTCACTGAACCCTTTTTCAGGCTGCTGCAGGATGGTGAGAGGGATGTGCCAGTTCCCATGCCCAGCTCTCCCAGGGTGCTTGGGTGCTACCTGGCTGTGGGACCTTGCCCATTTCTGTATGCACAGCAGGGGACGGGGGCCAGTATGCAGGGAAGGAGACTGCCCTTAGGGGCAAAAAGCGAGGGCCACAGCTTGCGGCAAGTGGCGAACTCTGTTCCTACAATAAAGTGGGTGGAAAGAATCAAAATCCTGCAAACGCTCCGTCTCTGATTCAGCAAGCGCAGCAATTACAAACCGAAGAGACACTCCTACTGAAGCTGATGGGCAAAGCACACCCTTAAAAACGGGCTCTACCCCGAGGTAGCCCGGGGAAGGCAGGTAAGGCAGGGCAGGTAGGAGGCGCGCTGCCTGCACCGCCCGGCTGCCTGCAGCGCTGCCCGCGCCGCCACAGGAGGTCACTGCGAGCCCGGCCGTGCTGCTGGGGATGCCGCGGGATAGCTTGGCAGGCAAATTAGACCGTCTCCCCAGCTCTTTTAAGGTTCGTTAGCGTTAGAGTGATAAAAATTAAAGAAATAAATAAAGCTGCCCCGATGATGACTGTCAACGCTTAATCAAGTGATTATCAGACGCACTTGAGTACAAAGCTGTTGGTACGTTACTGCATTGAGTTGGAAAATCTTAGAAATCATTAGCTGACGGTTATCAGCATTAAGATCCTATTTATTGGCTCCAGTGCGGTCGTGACAGCAACGTCAGTGGGGTTATTTGGAGTTATTTTTTCTAAGCTTGTAGGGAGCGTTGTGAATTCACACTCTGCCTACGCCTGTGGGGCTTTTAACTCTCCGTTCCGTAACGAGTTTACGAAATGTTACACCACGTTGCCTTGCACTTCAGTAATACCTAGCTTCATTAATGGCCTCTTGCAGGGAAATTTTGTGAAGGTCTGCTGACAGATTTCCCTTTATAGAGCACTTTATTGATACAGAACGAAATAAGGAAATTAGGTAAATGCTATATTCTCCAGAGGAAATGATGCTAATTATGCCGTGCCATACCAGTAAACTTTCACATGATTCCTTAGTTTGTGATGCTAAATTGATCTTTTTACCAAGTGCAGCTATATAAACAGGGCCGGATTAAATCAGCAGCGAATGGGAGGCCAGAAGCAGGTCCAACTTGCATATGAATTTTGCTGCGAATAAAGCCTACAAAGCCTTTTTCCTTAGATTCTGACTCGGTTCTGCCAAAAGCCTTCTGCAAGGCTCAGCTCTCCTATGAGCATGCAGGGAAGCATCTGCCCAGCAGTGGGGACTAGTATGGCTGGGTCTGAGTCCTTCCCAGGACCCTGCCTTGATGCTGTGGGTCTACACAGAGCCTGCTTTCAGACAACATGAACAGGTCCAGAATACAACATAACATTACTTTCCCTCTATGTTTCTGAATCTGGTCTGGGGAAATACAAATCTATCATCTTCATGACAGAATGAGTTTTTAGATCCCAGTGCAGAAAAGTTCCTATTTTCTCATTAACTTTAAACATGAGCTGTCATACTGACTTCATAACCATTGTTTACACACTGAAATGCTTAAGGAAGTAGTTAAGCACTGGGATGAGTCCAGGGTCTATGGTTCCGCGTGGACTCAGAAACTCAGTGCTGACAGTCCTGCAAAGTTTTAGCATGTGCAAACAATGACACTGAAATCACAGGATTTATTTACAATCACAGATTTTGTAGGTTTGGTGATTTTTTTCTTGGAAGGAACCTACCTGCAGCAAAAAGAGTGATGATTGTCCAGATTTTGGAAGCTGCGTTATAGTAGTAGCAAAGAAGTGGTGAGACCAAAGATACGTTGTATTACTTTCCACATTTATTTTTAACTTGGCTGGCTATCTTTCTGTACCTCCCACACTTTTTTGTAGCTGCTTTCGGTTTGGCTACTGCATGAGTTTGTTGAGATCTAAGGATCAGATAAAATAGGTGGTACAGTGTCATATAACACGTGGGGGTGGTATTCCTAAACAATTGCTGTTGTCTTCTGGCAACCATGACAGGTTTCTTAGTGGTATCTGACATATTCATCTCTTAAAAAAGCCGCATAGTCTTAGCTGGCTTGTCAGATTTATGTGTGTATCAGTAATGCTCATCTGAAGCTCTATGGACCTGCAAAGTGATTCCTACTAAGCACGAAAAGTAAATGCAGTAGTTTCCACATATACTGCTACCAGTGAATATTTCCTCCTTCCCCTACAAATCCCTGGGTTGTCATAGTCCTGCCATCAATTTGTGCTCACCACACCAGAAACCCAGGCAAAGATGGACCTGGGACTACCCCGGCATGGAATCCATGGTAGGAACAGATGAATAGTAGTATCTCTTCTAGCATGAGAATTTTGAATAAAAACGCACTCTTCTCTCACTGTGCAGCTATGCAGGTCACCGTTGTGCAAATACAGAGATGTGTAACTTTAACCAAGGAAGTTCTGTCAACTTCACTGTGGCTATGCTCCCTTGCAAAGTAAATTTCAAAGTGGAAGATTAACTTTGGGGTATACAGATGAATCACTTGGGAGCTAGCTGTGGTGATGTGAGATAACATGCTTTGTTTTTGCAGTTGGGGGGCTCAAATCACAAAAATATTGAGCTGACCTAAGTGACTTAGCTGGTGTTCCATTATTGGGCTACTGAATATTCTGTAAATCAAAACTGATTTCCTACTAAACCTATGATCTGAGACAGACTCTTCCCTCTTTGAAGATTACTCACTTTATTTTCCTGCTTTCTGATAATGCAGCTGATGGAAACTTTCTAAACATAATTTCACAGGTAATACTTATATGGGACAGGATTTGTACTAGCTGATTACTTGGAAAGCCCAGATATGTTTCGCACCTATTTTTTTCAGAAGTATGAAATTTTTTCTCTGCAGCCTACTACCCAAGCGTTCTCATATCATGATGAAGTTCTAATGACAGGCCTTTTTGTTTCTAGAAAAGTTTCAGCTGAGAACAAAAAAGATGGCCATTTGGAGAACAGGCAAAGGCATGGTAGCGAAAATCAGGGATACATTCCAGAGGAACAGTGGAACACAGAACAAATCCCAAGTGAGTCTAATCTGGTGAATCACATATTGTCAAACTGCTTCTCAATACAGGCATTTTGGAAAACATGTCAAGCAATTACACTGCAAGATTTCACAACACTTTATGAAGGACTTGTGCTTGGCCTGAACCTCTTCAGAACATTTTGGATTTTCTAAGAGTATGGTCCTTCAAAAGTATTGAGAAAACAACAAAGTTCTTTGCAGTTGAATTTAGTTTTAGCCCTGGGTTTGTTTTTTCAAATGCCATTATTCTTCAAAAATATCTTCTGGGGCCAGAGATGGGAGTACTGGATTTACATATGATGGTCAATTTAGGCAATATTTTGCGGTTGGTCTGTAAAAGCAAAAGAATCTACCAATAACAATTAAAAAAAAAAAAAAAAGAAAGAAGGAAAGAAAAAAAGGCAGTTAGTGAACTATAATTCTACTGATAAATGACTAAGGCATTATAAATTCTAGTCCTTAAGCACAAAGACTCTTCAAAAGCAAATTTAAATCCCCACCAAATCATTACCTACCACTTGCATTTGCAACCACATTATTATCAAAACGTTTAATCAAACACTCAGTGACGTAAAATTATTGTGCAGAATCTGTAATCCAGGCATACATCCTTTTCTCTCTAACAAATAAATTCTGAAGAAAGAAGTGCAGTGGAAAGATTTCAATAGCATGTAGTATTGTAAAATGTATCAGTTATAAAAAACAAAAGGAAAAAAACTAAGTAAACTAAGTAAACCTGGACAAATTGATTCTAATATGTCCTAGATGGGCTCCTTTTGTATCCGTTAGTGTGCTGGGTTGACCTTGGCTGCCCACCAAGTGCTCACCAAGTTGTTCTATCACTCCACCTTCTCAACAGGACAGGGGAAGAAAATAAGATGGAAAAGCTCGTGGGTCAAGATACGGAGGAGGAGATCACTCACTGATTACTGTCATGGGTCAAGCAGACTCCACTTGGGGAAGATCAGTTTAATTTATTGCCAGTTAATAACAGAGTAGGCTAGTGAGAAAGAAAAATAAAACTAAACCCACCTCCCTCACCCCGACTTCTTCCAAGGCTCAACTTCCCTCCTAGCTCACCTACCTCCTCCCCACAAGCAGCACAGGGGGATGGGGAATGAGGGCTGTGGTCAGTTCATATCACATCGTCTCTGCTGCTCGTTCCTCCTCACACTCTGTCCCTGCTCCAGTGTTTCCACAGAATGCAGTCCTTCATGGACTTCTCCAATGTGGGTCCTTCCCACGGGCTGCAGTTCTTCAAGAACTGCTCCAGCGTGGGTCCTTCCCATGGTACAGTCTTTCAGGAATGGAGTGCTCCAGCGTGGGTCCCCCACAGGGTCACAGTTCCTGCCAGAAAACTTGCTCCTCTACATGGGGGACACAGCTCCTACCAGGAGCCTGCTCCAGTGTGGGCTCTCCACAGGCTGTAGCCTCAGGGCACATCCACCTGTTCTGGTGTGGGGTCCTACATGGGCTGCAGGGTGGATATCGGCTCCACTGTGGTCTTCCATGGGCTGCAAGGCGACAATCTGCATCACCATGGTCTTCCCCACAAGCTGTAGGGGAATCTCTGGCACCTGGAGCACATCCTTGCCTCCTTTCTTCACTGACCTTGGTGTCTGCAGGGCTGTTTCTCTCACATTTTCTTGCTCCTGTTTACCAGCTCCTGTTGCACAGCATTTTATACCCTTTCTTAAATACATTATCACAGAGGTGCCACAAGTGTCACTCATGGGCTCAGCTTTGGCCCACAGCAGGACCATCTTGGAGACAGCTGGAACTGGCTCTGCCTGACATGGGGGCAACTCCTAGTGTCTTCTCACAGAAGTCACCTCTGCAAGCTCCCCCCAGTACAAAAACCTTGCCATGTAGCCCAACAAGTTAGCTAGAGTTTGGCTCACAATATTAAATCATATTTAGCTGTGTTCCTGAGGGGCTTGTGGTTCATGCCATGGTGGGCACTGAATAACAGTAATCTTGTGTATTCTTGTTACAGGAATTGCCTCTCTTCCCCCAATGTCTTCAAAGTTCACTGTCCCTGCTGCAGATTTACATACCAGTTCTGTACCAAAGGTAACTGTAACACTGATATCTTGCCCTTTGTTTTTCACACAGTGAGTAATGTACTATATCCAAACATAGATCTTGGGTGGAGGTAGATATTTATAAGTCAAATACATCTGTAATTGGGTAAGTGGAATGTCCCTTCCACATTCCTGAATGTTTGGTTTAAAAGGATAAGTGCCCTGGGTGTTAGCCTCAGATTTAGATTGATTTGAGGGGGTGGGACAGGAGGTGAGGGAGAAATGACCACACCTGATATTTGGAAGAAATGTCTAAAAAAGCTTTTCTCACATCTGTTCCTCTCAGCACCCTGCTACATCTGCCTTCCCACCTCCCAAGCTAAAGCTACGAAGTCACAGACTTCCCCTCATTAAATTATAGAGTCATAGAATATCTTGAGTTGGCAGGGACCCATAAGGATCTCCAAGTCCAACTCCCTGCTCCTCACAGGACTATCTGAAACTAAACCATATGACTAAGAGCATCATCCAGATGCTCGTTGAACTCTGACAGACATTCAGGCAGTGCCTGCTCTTTCCTTTCATTTCCATTGCTTTTCATATCTTTCCTCCTCCAAACGTCAGCTAGCCCTTTCTGCTGGCCAGTATGATGGGTAGCCCTGGCTGGGACAGACTTCCAATAGGTAAAGCCAATTGTGTTTTCATCCTTCCTGGGATTAAAAACTCTCCTCCTCTCTCTCCACAAGCCCACCTATTACCATTAATTAATACTTTCAGCCTTGGCAGCTGCAGTAACTCTGGCCTGGCTTTTGAGAAATACACCTCTGTGTATATTATACATTAAACCATTATAATGTGGAGGTTTGCTTTGCTCTGGGCATGTAATAATTCTGGAGAGCTGTTATATAGGTGCCTTTGCCAAAGTGGAGGTCTGCAGTGTTTTTGTTTTTCTCCCCAGTTGCCAGACTGGAGGAGATGTGGATATAAGATGGAGATAGTGTTGAAGGTGAGGTTTGAGGTTCCTTTGCAAACAAAATCTAGTCCAGATGCAGTAAATAAATGTGCATTTTCTCTGGATCATTTCTTGATTGTATTTTCCAGTTGCACTTCCACATTGCAGAAGTTGCTTCAGTCAGGAACTTTGCACTGATCTTAGACACCTTTGGTATCTCGGCGGTAAACGATGGAAGGGAAAGCATGCAGCTAACACACAGTACACCCTAGAGCTTTGTCCCCTTTCCACATGGCTAACACTTAAAGAAGTAGAGCTCAGTGTTTATTCCTGTACTTGTTCTGTTCTCAGCTACTTCCGTTCTGAAGGGTGACGCTGGGCTCTCTTAGCTTCTAGCACAACAGCAATGTGGATCTTAATTTATACCGTATATTTGTAGCATACATTTAGCACCTCCATGATGTTTTTTTGCCAATGTTCTCTTGGGAAAGTGGCAGTGATGTGGTACCGAGTTCACTCCTCAACACTGATAACTGATTTCTCTTTGAAGAGCTGTTTCAACATGTACAACACAGAAACCATCTTGGGATGACATTGCATATAAATCATAGCAGAGTGTGTCTTGTTCTTTTGGCACACAATGAAATTTAGGAAGTACTCAATCAATGATTAAAACAGTGATCAAAATAATAACAGTAAAAATAATAGCAATGATACTAATGTTTTTGTTCCTGGTAGTTATTATGTTTGACATTAATTACTTGTCAAAAAAAATACTGTTAAAGCAAAGCTGAAAACCATGTACAAAACAGCTGAGGGATCAGGGTGGATCTATAACCCTGAGCAATAGTTTCAGACAGTGATTGATACGCTTATGAATAGGATTATAAGGCACTGGCTCTGATTACATGCGCAAGGCGTGTGGCAAATTATGATCTGCTCTGAGAAGCAAAAGAGCTTGTGCTGAGGACCCTGCACCCACCCTACACACATTTCCGGGGGGAGGCGATAACTTCAGTTAGCTGTCGCAGTTTCCCAGTGGCTGGGTGCTCACTGATGGTTGACCTGCGCCGGTTGTGCACTGCGGGGGCATTAAGCCGTTTGGTGGCATCTGAAAGGTATCCGGTTTGGGTGCTCTCAGACAGCTCCACAGTGAGAACGATAGTGTTGTGGGTTGGGACCATCAGGAGACTGGGTTCACAAGCATTGGGTTCATGCTCCTGATTCAAGTTGAAACATGAATGTAGGTGCAGCCCTCCATGTGTAATGCTAGATTAGATAGTCCAGGAGGTCCCTTGTAGCCCAGTGGCTAGGGAAACATTGAAATCTACCGTCACAGGCGCACAGAATAAAGTTGAACTGTTTCTGCTAAATCAGTTGTCCCTGGACAATATTTGGTACAAGTCTGTTACGGTGGCTTCTAGCTGCGTCAGTAACTGCACACACATTTTTGAAAAATATCAAGAAATAATCTAGAGGTGAAAATTATTTATAACTGTTTTCCATATGTTGGAGGAATGTTTAGCAATCTAAAAATGGCTTGTGAAGACAAAGTACTTCTCAGTTTGAACAGGGATTCTCAGTATATTGTGATGGCCCCACCTTGCATATGCAGGAGCTGATAAAGGTTGATGAAGGTTTACCTTAAACTGTGGATTTGCAGTCTGTGATTTAAATTTATGGCATTTTATACAAACACAGTAAAACATTTCCCAGACAAAAAAAAAGCATTTTTCTTTTACATTCGTATAACCTTCCCTGTTAACTGCATAGTAGAGGTTTTCTGACAAAAACCGTTACTGGATGCATTCTAATAAAGTTCAATCACTGCTGTTGCCAATATATTGCATCATAAACATTGTAGTACTCTTTCATTATAACATATTTCTTGTCAAGTAGGAGAAATCAGATGGCAAGCCATTTAACTGTTTGCTCATTAGTGCTGAATCAAACAATTTCTTCAGAAACCACCTGCCTTCCTGCCACTGCATTTTCTAAGCACAGAAGGCTGTGTTTCTCAGTTGGCTTTCCCTGCCTGTATACTGGAAACATTCCAAAAGGTTTTTCATCTTTATTCTTCTGGACTTTTTAATGACAAATAACAAGTAAAAAAACCAGGAGGGAGAGAAGCTATCCAGAGAATTTTTTTCATAGTGAAGGAGGTCATAAAGGGGTGGACTCCAGCAAATTGCCTCTCTCTCCCTGGATAATCAAGAAAAATGAGCAAACGTCCTTGCAGTGCTTCTATGGAGGTCAAGAAAAAGGAGTGAAGAACCCAAGTCCTCCCTCAGGAGCAGGGCGGGGAAGGAACGAGGAGTCCATCTACTGATGGAGTCACAGAGACTGGAGACCTAAAGTCTTGTCTCTCCAGCTCTGAAAGGTGAAAGAAGTTAAGATTTCTGTGGTTGGCTTCCTTGTCACCTTATGGGATCAGGATTAACCACAGCAACAAGGCCAGAAAATAGGTCCATATGGGCAAAGTTTGAACAGAGTTTAAAAACTAAGAGAAGCTCATGGATGTAGGTACGAGATGAAAAGCAGGGCAATTGCAGTGAATGAAGATTTTTCAAGTTAGCGTTTTGACTGGACAGAGGCAATTGTACCGGCTGCACAGCCCATGCCTCCCACTCCCAGGAGAAAATGACGGAAATTTTCAGCACAGGTCAGACATATTAGGCAGTCTCCCTGTGTCTCTGAGGGTATCAGCTTCAAATATAATCCCTTCTCTTCCATATGTAAAAAGTTACAATTTTAAATGGTTTGAGAGATTAAGGGAGACTTTGTACACAGGTTTTATTTCCTCAGAAGCCCTTGCCCGTGGACCCAATCAGGTACAAATCCTAAAATACCCAGTCGGTCTCATTGTAAAAGGTGGTGACAGAAAATCACTTAGGTCAGCTATTGGCTATTGAAACTCTTTGAATCAGAAACTAATGCAAAACGTTCACAGGAGATAAATGTTGCCCAGCAGTTGCGCTGATCAATTCACAACGTGAACAGAAGATTTGGCAAGTCATCTTAGGGAAAAAGTAATACCTCAGCAAAGAAGAATGGGTGATAAAAAGGTGTGCAAGACATTTAAAAAATGATGAATATCAAAATAAATTATTGAGTTGAGGAGAAAATTGCTAGCCACTGGAAGAGGAGGCCAGGAGCATCAGTCAGGGGTGCTGGAAGGTCTTCATTCTGATTACATTATCCGGGAAAAGGTCAAATGGAGAGTAGTGTTACAGGCTTCTGTTTAATTGCATATTTTGTTACTGTCAGTGATATGAGGAGAGTGATCCTTGCTCCTAGTCCCAGGGCTGAGCTGCAGGCCAAACGGGTGTTAGGGACCAAGGTCCCATCCGAGGGGCCATTTCTCATGCCCTGACCCGTTGCACAGAGCTTCTTCCAAAACTCAAGGGCAATGAGGGGGATCCCCTACCTTGGCTCTGGCAGATTTTGGGGCAGTCCCGCAGACAGTTTAGCCTGAACAAGTGCCATAGGGCCAGTTCTGCCAGGTCCTGGGTGCCATCTCCAAGGAACTGCATTTTTTTGAGTCCCATTGGTACAAAAGGAGCTCTAAGGACTCAGCATCTTGCAAGACTGGACAGTCTCTTACACAAGCTTCATAATTAGTCCATTTAATATGCCATAAATGGCTCTATGATAAATCAGAAGACCATTTCGTAAGAGGGAGTGAGTGCTCATTTATAGTGGGCCAGATTCAACCCTAGTGTAATCCAGCTTACTTCAGCACAGGCCCAGGAGGCTTGCACTTGCCACCATAGCCGCACTCGTCCTCTCCAACCCAGAGTGAGTCATGGCTCCTATAATGGGGAAGGATCAATTTTTCTTCTTAACTACTCCAAATGACACTCTATAAACTGGAAATATTATTTAGTTGTGGTTGTGGTTTTATACTGGGAAGGAAATGAGTGATGAGTTGTAGTTCCATTTATTGCACAGTATATAACTGCTCTGACTCTGAGAATTGTTTGAAAAGAAAAATTAAGCTATCAAAATCAAATTAAAAGGTCAATAAAATAGAAATACAAAGCAATGACAGGAAATAATTTTACCCTTACTGATGAAATGTACTATGGAGTATGTCATGTTATGATATTCATTGGTCAGCATGTCTTGCTTAAGAGAATAATAAATATTGATGATGCAAGTACAGAAAAGGCAGGTGCAGTTTATAGTATAATTTTTCCAAGTGTCCGTGGAAGAAGGGGAGGAGTAAAGTTATGTGGGTGGGATTAACCCATGAAGAAATGAGAATGAATTTCCAGGCTGTATGTCTACTGATGAACAGGGAAATGTGCTGAGTGTACAAAAAGTTGACAGGATGGAACTGGTTTGCCATTTGAAGCAATAGTGTACCTGAGTTATTTTGAGGGTATCAAAAACTTTTGGCTGGGTGCTTTCCTGTAAATGAAGTGAATTTGGAATGAGAATTAAAAACTGAGGGCAGCGGGAAAAATGACCTTGAGAAAGAGAAAGCTGTGCCTCCCTGATTTTTTGTTCTAACATTTAGCCAAATGCGTGATGCACGCAGACACATTTGGAAGTACTCCTACCACATTAATTTCAGCAATTTGTTCTAATGCTAAGACTTGGATTTTTTTTTTGGCTGGCTAATAGCAGGCAAAGCCTTCAGTTTATCACACATTTCCACAGCGTCAGTGTCTGAGGATCTGCCATCTGTCAAATCAATTTAAAGACCAGAGCCCTGTTTCATAATGCCAGATGTGTGTTCATCATTCATATCACTGATGTCATATGGGTTGCAGAAGTGTCTACAACATGTTAGTAATAGCAGAAGTCCTTCTTTCATTGGCTGAAGATCAGTATTCAAAGCATCACTGAAGGATTCCACCCTGAAATCAGCTGATACACACACTCATTTTACCTTCTGATTCATCCATGTGTTGCTAGCTCTCTTTTTGTCTCACTGAAGAGCTGGAAGAGCTGGAAAGATCTGGGCATCTGTTTCCCCAACCAAACCAACAAACTATGCAAAGCTTTTCCCGGTATAATAGTCCCTTTATAGTAATCCCTATAAAAAG